TCAATCACACAGTTGATTGCAGAATAAATAGACAAAGTGGAAAGTATAGAAATCATGAATACTTGTTTAACGAAAACAATGTATTGCTTCAATAAATTCTTCTTTCTATCGTTGGGATATCGTTTCATCCATTCTGATTTTCATTTTTTTCTTTCAGAGCTTTTCAGACTTGAATTAGATGGGATTCATCCAATGAAATGTAGAAATTCTAAGTTTACTTCTGTTTTATAAGTCAATTATTCGTTTTCTATTTTGGAGAATAAACTCTCATACCGATCCTATCCAATATCGACCCGTCCTCATTGCAATGCCAAGAAAGTTTGATTAGTTTCGAATGTGGGGAAGTATTTAGAATCTAAATTGATCCACGATTCAGCGAATTGAGAACCTGATTTTATCACGGAGAATGTCACAATGCTCTGGCACACTACTTGGTAGTGACAATAGGTATGTATGGTCCACTAAAAGCTGTTCTTATCGTCGAAAGAAGTACTGTAAAGTAGCGGCAGCATAAGTATCACAGTCAAAATATCACGTAAGTTGTTAGATCATTATTTAAATTCATTTGGCACTTTCCTATCTCGTCATGAAGATCTTATTTGATATTAAAAGTTTCATGACAGATTAAACGTTGTGTCAAGTACAATCTGATATATTAAGAATCTGTAAATTTTGCTTATAATATTCACGTGTGTCTGCTAAATATCAAGAAAATATCATACGACTGACAGCGGAAGCTTTCCTTCTCTTTTTTCTAGAATTCGAAAACAAAACTATTCTATATCTCGTTTTGTCGTCACTAGTACATCTCCGAAGTGTTCTCTGTCAAAACCGGCATATATGACAAGTTTTCGGTATTTGCCAGCAGTTCTTCTTGAAATACCTAAAGGAAGTAGCGATTGAGGTGCGAAATTAGTTGCGATTATGAATAGATGTATGATTTGTTAAGACTGCTAGAAAAGCGTAGTTCTAAGCAGACTTTTGATTTGAATGCAAATTAGATGTATAGAAGGAATCGAAACTCTGTTAAGAGATTCTTCTATAAAAACAAAATTCTCAAGGGAAATTTAGAATCGATTAAAAAAGGTACATGTATGCAGCGTGTTATGATTCTACTTCGAAACTAGAATTCTAACTGCATTGTTGGAAAGAACTCTAATCTCTTATGCAAGAGTTCTAATAGTATTAATCGATATTAATAAAAAGAACAAATGTGGAAACCTCGGATTTAAATCCGAGAGTTATGTGTACTTCAAAAAGTGAATGAGACAGATTAGTCATCCTAGAATGTGGGGATATAAAAATTATCCTGGCAAACATTATCTATAAACACTTGATTTCTATTGGCTACTGCTCAACCAATAGGATTTGTGGGTGAATACAGCTCAGATTTGAACTCTTCACTTTGATTTACCCAAAGAAAGTCGTTTTTCCTATAACTTGATTTCTATTGGGTACTGTTCAACCGATGGGATTTCAAGGCGAATGGAGCATAGATTCGAGTTCTCCACCCCAGAAAACCTCGAAGTATCATCTCTGTGATCGGAAGATAGAGCTCTATTTGTGGATTAATTAGAGCGTCGAGAAAAACAGAACCGAATTCCGTTTAATTATCTTTGCAATAGCTGAGTTGGCTTTCTTGTTTCCTTATGTTTTATATACCATTTTGCAGCTCGTGAAATTCTCTATCGAATGGTATATAATAGTTGGAGTTTTAGTTGACTATGATAGGAAAAGTTGTTTACGAAGGCGGGAATCGGTCGATCTTTCCATAGGGAAGGTATAGGGAAAAATAAGTATTTTTGCAATAACTCACGAAGGGCTCGGCTAATCCTTCTCATCTTCGAACTCGACCGAGACATTGTTAAGACTGAACTGTGTAGAAAATTTCATCGCGATCTGACTCTCCTTTCAAAAGCTATCGTGTAAACGGACGGACGGCCGGACGGACACACTGACCGATTCTAGAGTGTACTCACTTTTTGAGTACACAAAAACATCTGCATCGCAGAATTCTTGAATTCGGCTTGTGATGAATTCTACCAGTACCGATTTCTCTTGGCCAGCCTAAAGTAGAACATTATTTCTTTTATGCCAGTCAAAACGTAAAATAAAACTAACACCAAGAGAATTGATGAGTACAAAAATGAAAGTATAAATGCGATTGATATAAACAAAGAGATGGATAGTATCACGAACAATGAGGATTGTTTGAGCATTGTCGAGAGTAGCAGTAATGATGGCACGTTGAATTAATAGATGTGGATGGATGTTGAGAGCAGAATAAGTAATGTAGCTATATGTGGCGCCAATATTCACCATGATATGAACAAGACGGTCATTGATTTGAGTAAGAATAATAATAAGTGATGGATTATGATGGAAAAAGAAAAGATGACCATCACCACTCATCCCTATTCAATAGCGTGATGTAAATATTGCAAAGAAATATTTATAGGTTCATCACATGAGTAACTAATGACAGAGAGTGAATATGGAGTAGAAACGGTAGTGATTGGTTGGAGTGAATAGATGTATGATGATTGATTTGTGTGGTATGATGTTTATCGACCACCAAAAGTTGATTGAAGTGAAGATATGTAGAAAGATCAACCAGAACGATCTGCAGCAAGGCATGATGTTAGCTGGAAAGGTTCTACGGTAGTATTTCTGACGATATGAAGGTTGGTATTCACTACAGATGGTGATCGATGATCATATACTGTCAATGAGGCGACAAGTTCACATTTGTCGACTTCAAGAATGTCATTATCAATTTCAATGTGCTAACCACAAGAAATTTGCGCTTGCAGTGAAGTAATGTGCTAACCACAAGAAATTTGCGCTTGCAGTGAAGTAATGTGCTAACCACAAGAAATTTGCGCTTGCAGTGAAGTAATATGCTCCCCTGAAGAATTTCCAACAGGGTGACTTCCATACCAACTAGAGCCAACCGATCATCTCAATATCAGCTATATGCGGGTTGCGCTGGTTACAAAGTTCAAGAATCACGACATGATACTCGGTAAAGGACTTGGCATCAATCTACCCATGGTCTTTTATCAATTTCAAGTTCATATCTCGTGATGTAGTGACAAGGCGAAGAAAAACTGATATAATTGCACCGGTATATTTGCTCCAGTCAGGAAACCGATCCTTATTGACAAGAAGCCATTTCAGTGCATCGTTGGACAAATATTGTCATATGAATCGAGATTTTCTGGTGAGAATAGTCTCCGAGAAGATCGAATTTCAACGAAATAAGTTAGAGCTAAACATGAATAGTGCCGCGTGATTCGCTTTGAAATGCTAGGATGCTGCCAATCGCTTTGATAAATTAGTGTACTTCCATGATTGCGTTAGTGTGTGCGAAGGCATGGTGAGATGAGATAATATTTTGAAGAGGTGATGGTCGTTAGCGCAATTGATGATATGAATTTTTTTTAATGTTTAAACTTGGACTCTTTCTTGGAATGTAGCAAGTTTCGTAGCAATCATGTACCAAGACAAAAGTCAGGCAAATGTAACTACAGATCTGCCTATAGTTAGTTGAGACAGTAGAAAGGCTAGTGCAACATGGTGATGATTCTCGCTCGCTACATTGTATGATCAACCAAATCAACATACAAATGAATCATATCACAAAAACAGAGTATCAGGTCAGAGAGAGAGATACATGTCATGCACATAATCAACATGCAGATCGAACAGACTAACTTAAGAAAGGAGAGAGAAATATGATGAAAGTGAGAGAAACGTGATGAACTAGAGATAATGATGAGAGAGAGCATAGTTCGTAGCAAAGGATAGAGAGCTCATGACCAGTGCCATAAAACTCAATCGCTTTGAGTGCAATTATGCATTCTTTCCACTACTGTTAACTCTTCAAGACATGCGATCCAGCCTGATTGAATGTTTAATCCGGAAATATATCATAAAAAATCCATCTCCATCAGGTTCTGTAGACAAACTGTTTGTAACATGAGAGAGTGAATCGATTGTGCTACCTACTTGTGGAAAAAATTTTAAAATAATTGAAAAATCGAACTTCTATATGGTTTGCTAGGTTAATAGTCGAATTTTATTGCGCATTCATCCTAGACTATTCCTTTTAAAAACCAGAAATAGTGAAAATTAGTTGCTAATTTTTTACATGGGCATCAGCAAACGATTTCCTTGATTTAGAATTATAGGAACGGTTTATGTTTTGAGATATAATAAACTTTTCATTTGATATTTCAAATCTAGATACTACATGGCAGCTTCTTATGAAAATTCATTAACTCGTCGAAAGTTAGCATTAATTATCGGGAATGGTGACTACAGCCAGTCTCAAAATAAACTGAATCATCCTGCCATGAATGCTAGTGATTTATGTGATTCTCTCAAAAGAATCGATTTCAATGTGACAACAGTCTTTGATCTACCTAAGCAAGAAATGGTCAAGCATATCACTAGTTTTTCTAAAGCTATTAGCAATGGCGATCTAATCTTATTCTACTTTTCGGGTCATTGCTATCAGGTCAATGGCGAAAACTACCTGATACCAATTGATGAGGCTAAAATAAACACTGATAGTGATTTTGAAGATTTTGCAATTAACTTTGAGCGAATATTAGTGCGACTAGTGGGAAAGAATCAATCATACGCGACTATATTTATCCTAGACTGCGATAGACCATACTTTCTACACGGTATAACGGCATCAAATTGTAAGTTAAATCATTTATGACTTCCTATAAGCCATTTTCATATGGTTTTTAGCTCCTACGGAAGGCAAAAGTCTTCATGAAATGGAGCCACGTTGGGGAACCTTCATCCAGTTTGCTTGTGCTGCTAATCAAACAGGCAGAGGTGTGATGGAAACATTTCGAAATAGCTTATTCACAAAACACTTGCTACAACATATTACTCAAGAAAATGTCCCTATTGGTGAAATTTTTCGGCGAATAGTAGACGACGTATATAGAGAAGACAATCAAACACAGAGATTGTTATCTATGAATGGCTTACCTGATGATTGGCAAGTCTTTTTGAATGAAGTGATCGTTCCTATCAAACGTAAGTTGAGTGGAAGTGACACTAAGTTTTAAACTCCAGGCTCATACGATACTATTGAGCCACTGCTTGTGAGTAAAAGGTAAGCTGAATAGTGTGTGGGTATTAGTGTGGATACTTTAGTCTGAAAGGTCGACATCGACACCGACACTCACACTCACACCCACACCCTTCTACGGTACTCTGCGAGGATGGTTCTCCAACCATGTAGTGGATGTTCTCTTAACCATTTTTCACTATTTAATCTAGAGGACGATTGTTAATCAGTGTTAAAGTATAAAGTGAGAAAATTGAATTGTGTCCAATTCTGCCCACAGACTATATTGAGGGTTGATAGAGGTTCGGCGACTGGCCATGAAGGTGAAGGTAGTCTTTATCACTATCAACATCTTTCCCAAAGCAAATCCAGTCTTACCCACGCTACGGCCGCCCCACATCAACCCTTAGCTCACCTATCTTACATACTCTCAGAGAATAGACAACAATGGCCTTCTTTCAGTCCATACCCATCTTCATACACCTACGGTCATCCTCTCCCACTATCAACCTCAACCATACAGCCAGTTACTGATTGATCTCACACCTACTCCTCATAAAATAGGTGAAGATGACTTTTCTCTCCACCGACACCCGTATCCCGTCACAGACCGTGACTAGCAAATGGACAGAATGGATAAGAATCTCTAACATTACAGACTGTAAAAGATATTTTGTTAGTTTATCTCATCCTCAAAGATAATAGGATTGATGTGAGTAGGGCTATCGTTTACAAGTAGAACAAATCCATCGTGTCTCACATAATCTTCTAGGGATTATGCTGAAATCTTTCTACAAATGGATGAAAAATACTTCAGAGTGACTATTTTGACTGAAAACTTTTATGTGGACTTCTTCTGAACGAAAAATAAATGAGTCGTAAAATTGCAGGAATTTGATGCTTTTTTGGTCGGAATGAAAACTTCTGTGCTTAAAATTTACCAGACCCTTGTGCTAAAGATTGGAAGGCAAATCACAAGGGTTTAAAACATTGATTTATCTCTGAGCACGTTATTAAATGGCACCTAGCTTGAAATGGGTTTCCATTAATGTGCGTGGCTGTTCACCGATGTTTATAGAGTCAAACTTACGAACTCTGTTTTCAAATTAGTAAAACTACGGGCTAAGAAAGCTTTTCGGTGTTAGTGAAAGTTAGCATTCTTTACTGGTGCCATTTCCATCTCTTTATCTGTAACATCATATTCTTAGCTGAACCAGAAGTTGACAACGATCAGCGTCTAGATGATGACTGGAATGAAGAAACAGACGGCAGTCTCGAATCAGCAAAAATGGAGCAGGCAAAGTTAAAAGCTTACTACGATAGTTTTCCAAATATTGATGACGCTACAAACAGTACAGGATTAGACGTAAGGGAAGCTACAGAATTTACGGAATCGATATTACGTCAATTGCCATCCGGAGACGTTGCTGAACGAAGCACTATGTGCCATGTATTGGCCAATTTGTTTGCGAATCAAAATATACCAATTTTATTTTTTGATTCTGCTCATGGTAAAAATCTCCATGATGCATCGAGAAATTTGGCTGAAATTGACTTAGAAGATAGACCATTTGTGTTAAAGTTAAAGAGTAGTGAAGGGTTGAAAGGCAGCATGCGATCAGAAACTGAACATGGTAAAATAAAATTAGCTCGAATATTAAACAATGCAATTGATCAAAATCAATCTCATCCGCTTATGGAAGACATTCGCAAAAGGTTATCAAAAGCACATAAAATCGATAAAAACGATATCGATTTTAAAATCTTTTATGTTGGATTATTTAATGTGGTATATACACTGAAAGATTCGACAAATATATCGGTGGAGTCGCTCATAAAACTTAGAAAAAAACTAAAACATCAATTTGAACAATTTATAGATGCAAAAATTCACCCATTATTATATCGTCCATCATTTGATATTTCATTCTTTAATGAGCGTGGTAATAGAACGTTTCCCTCTAAATCCGAAACTCACAAAGTTGGTCCACCTGGTCATACTAAACGGTATTTTCAACCTGCTCTATGGACGAGGTATGGATTAAACGTTATTGGTAAATATGAAGATGGTGATACTTGGCTCCATCCATTTCTCGATCCTGGAAACTGGTACAGAGCTTTCCATGGAACTGGAAATGCAAGAAGTGAAGATTTTGGTCATGCGGATCAATCTTTTGACGAGCAATTTGCATCTGTCGATGCTGTTGCAAATATTTACAAGAAAGGATTTAAGACAGCAAGAATTGCTGTTTATGGAGCCGGCGTTTACTGTTCTCCAAATCCTAAGGTTCCTGACGAGCACTATACTAGAGCAGTGGACATGAACACGCCGTTAGGGAAAAAAAAATTTAAATGTATGCTCCAGGTAGCGGTGAATCCCAATGGGGTTCAAATCAAGACAAAGGATATATGGGTCGTACCCAATCCTCAAGATATTCGACCGTATGGCATACTAATTAAGGAAGTTTGACTGATGATAACTACTAATTTTGCTTGTTTTATTTTTAAATCTGTCCTCCATAGCACTGCCACCACATGTCTGAATTTCCTAAGACGTACCGTATTTCATACTAAGGGTAATGTGATTCATTCATCTCTTTTTCATTGCTATTATTTATGAAATAACAAATTAAATCTAAAATGTCGCTACAACTCAATTCCATCCTAAATCCATCACTGTAAGTGTTAGAGTGTAAGTGTACTTAGATGTGACAGTGGGTGTATATGGATACTTGTGTGTGTGTACGGGTAGATGTGTGATGTGGGTGCAGATGTTAGCGTGTGTGGGTGTGGATTTCTGTCTTCTGTTCGTCCATATTTACACCGTTCCAAAAATCCACTCGATTTGTTGAGGAGTCATACAGGATGTCATACATCCAAGAAGATCCTTGTAGACCCTACCATAAGAATTGATAAAAAATAAATAGAAACCGAATTATTTTCCAAATTATTTGTTTTGAATCGCTCTATAATCCATTCGTTTCATCAAATGGGAAAGAAAGAAAAAAAAACAAAATGTTATCGCTGAGCAACAAAACAAAAGAAAATGTATAACACACCGATCATCTATAACAAGCCTATATCACGATTTCAGTCCATAGTTTAACTTAGACATCACACGCAGCGCCAAAGAAGCAAGTCGATAAGCGTATATAGGCATTCTTTGTTCATCTTGCACCATACGACAGACACACAAATTCTTCTAATTATGTTGCTTCAGGTAATTCAGCATCGCAACTTCTACAACAACTCGTAAGAAAAACATATACGCACACACACAATAAATCGTTTTGGCAACCTTGAGCTTGGCACTACAAGACTTCAGGCGGTTTACGGCGATTATATTCAACCAGTGATATAGCTTAATCGAGCTTTAGTAACCATTCATTCTTCTATCGATCAATTGTCTCGCTATATCAAAGAGATAAAATAGAATTGTCATTTTCCGTCATAGCAGGCCCTTACTTGTGAAGAGCCAGCTGCTGTTTACCTCTCTACTATGGAATAGAGTGATTTTAGTCTTTATCGATTAATGAACCAAACCCTGCGATCCGAAAATCAATTTGGACTCAAATAATGATTCGCTTTTCTCAAATTGTTCGACACTGTCCCTGGCAAATTCCCCACTGTAAGAAAGCGCTTTTGGCGAGATGTAAATAATGACATCAGTAAAAATTTCAAGAAAAAGCTTGTTAGCGCAGCCCCTTTGGGGCTAAAATGTGAAACTCACATATGTTCTCTAGCCTCATTAAACCAGTACAAAATACGTAAAATGAAAAATCTCTTATAAACTATAGTTGTTTTGCAGGATAATCGAACATTAGAGTAAGAAATTATCTAATTTCTGCATTTCGAACAGAAATTTTGTATTTTTTCTACGGGCGTCCTATTTTTGTGTGCATTGTTGCTATTCGTTCACTATTTTTCGTTTTTTTTAAATTCGTTGTTCTTAATGTAACATCCTTATTATTATAATCATCGAATTAATTGGCAAATATGTCTGTTTTACATGTCCATTATATCTAAAGCAGATGTTATACACTATTATATATATTAATCAACTTACGAACAATGATGTTGATTATCTTTGAAAATTATAACTTGATCAGTTTTGCAAAAAAACTATAGAAGGTCTGACGCCTGTTATTTTCGATTGCTAAGGTCTCTAATGAGGAGTTATCTGTAATGGAAGCCTCCGTTGCTACGTGCCTGTAATGGGAGGGATAGGGAGGAACCGCGAAACTTAAACTTACACTCACGATTTTCTTCGAAAATATATGTGAGTTTCACAAAAAGATAACTAAATTTGGTTCATAACAGATATCGGAATGCATATAGTATCGATCAGGGTGATTCTTACCGAAGTTCAACCACACAAATTAGATCGGATATTTGTAATACACCATTGCCATTGTTTATTCTATATCCAAATGGACGAATTAATCATGGATTAAATAGAAATTGTTGGGTTCCACATGTTTTTCACCAAATAAAGCAAATCCAATTGAACTGAAGAAATAATATCGATTTATCGAACAATTAATGGAAATGGCTATGCGAAAGAAACATAACTTAAATTTGAAACTCCGTCTTTTATTATGAAAATAATTATTAAAAGAAGCAACTACTATTGAAAATATTCAAACAATTAATATACAATGTTTTATAAGTATCAATGAAATGGAAAAGAATACTGAACAAATAAAATCAATCGATATTAATAACCGAAATCAATGAATTATTCATTAATATTATGAATGAACTGCGATTTGATATAGTTAGTTCAACTGGATAATCTTATAAATTTATTCTTAGTGAAATAGATATTTCGATTATAACTCAGATTTGTAAACGATATTCATCTTGCTATTCGCAATATCGCTTCAACGAGTTTCTTTCAATAATAAATTCATTTCATTGATCAGGGTTTATATAGTGTTGTTCCATACTATTATTTGAGTTTGTTTACATCTGATGAACTTGAAGAAGTAGTATGGGAAAAATTTTAATTAGATGTCGAATTATTAAAATGAAATATATATTATAGTGATAGTTGAAAAGTATATTGCAATGATTAGTGACAAAAATTCACGATAAATCAAATTGTCTATCTGTGATGTTATAAAACTTGAAAAAAAATCATGTCTTACAATTTGTCTGTATCAAATTTTAAATAAATCGAGACAGTCTAATCAAAGTATTCTTAAGATATTCTCGTTGTTGTTATGAATTCAAAATAAAATGGTAAGTGAAAATTATTGTCTAAACTCCATGTTTCACTTTTTTTTTAGAAACATTTTTCTTTTAAACTAATCATCTTTGTGCACTGATATCTTTATCCTTCTTTTTTGTTTCTTTCTCAATCGATAGGACAGAGAATTTTTTCAGAAAATGATCTTTGTTTTTCTTTAGCTGCATTCAACTTTCTTAATCTACGCAACCGATGATTTCTAACCCTTCGAAATAGATGAATGAATGAGTAAACTTGAATAATCGACATAAAATAAAAAATCAAATTTAAATATAAATAATTAATTATAATCAACTGAAAATAAATCGATTTCAAATCTTAATTTGATTAATAATCAGAGAATTGATTAAAATCTTCGAAACAAAATTATTTTCTCAAGTGATTATTGATTAAATTGATTTTAATCCAAGTTTCTAAAATAACCAGCAGTTGTCCACCAAAAAACAAACTAGTTTGTAAACGTGAGTCGAACAGAAACATTATTCAAAATAACTTTTGATTTTATTATCATCAATGACATCACAATTATATTAAGATCTTGCTTAGACCTAGAATTAAAAAAATGAACAAACTAATACTACGAAGAAGAAGAGAAACAAAATTGTTTACAGAGGATCTCTAATATCTCATTTAAACAAAAATTATTAAATCGTTACAAATTAGTTTAAATAGAAAAATGATATTTTTAAAATATATTTTATCTGAAGCTATGGAATAAATACATTATCAAAACTCATAATCAGTCGAACTGATAAATAACATCGTTTCATCCTTGTTTCTAATAGAGAAATAGTATGAAGTAAATGAAAAATATATTAAACATCAAATTTTAACTTATAATAGATTAGTTTAATCATTTTTATAGTTCTTATTGTAACATTGAACAATCAATAAGAAAAAAATGAAAATAAATATTTAATAAACTAATATTTCTAGGTTAACTAGCTAAAAAACGTCTACAAAGTTTGTTTACTAAATAAGAATATTTTTATATTCAAATTGAATATGTATGCATTAAAAAAAAATTCAATTTCATAATAAATTATAAATTACATTTTTATTCTGGTGAAAAGATAAATGTGAGTACATCAAAAATATAAACATTCTCAATTATTCAATGTAGAAAGCAATTCATTTTGCAAGAACATGAATAACTTCGATTTCTTTCGTATGAAATTCAGTATCATAATCTGGAAATAAAAACGTCTGAAAGTATCATTGTCTAAAAATCTTTAAAAAATTTACTGAATCCGAAAGTTCGCTTTTGCTTTTTTCTCTTCTAATCTATCTGACAGTCTGTGACGGAATAGAAAAAAAAGTTGACACATCTGCCCGCTTCTGTGTTATGAATTGTGTTGTTCAATTTTCTCATTAAATTTTTCGACACTGATTCCGAATGACGTATGATAAAAGAAAGCCAAAAAGTCAAGAAAATTAATTCAACAGTCGAAAACCAATTGAAATGAATAGAACACAATGCAGCACGAGGTAGACAATGATTTATAAAACGTGATTTAAACAACCACTCACTAATCAATTAATTATCTTTTCGAAGATCGAGAAGTTTCAGTCAAAGCAAAATTTTGAAAAGTCTCGACCTAATCTTAATAACAAAACTTCACGTCTTTTTTCTGTTTTCCTATATCCTAGTGCATAGACTGTAAAGAGATAAGTCAACATATTACTCTGATAACTGCATAGATTGTCATGAGACATATTGTCCGACAACAACAGAAATATTTCAGTGACATTCTTATTATAATGAAAGTAGTTAGATCGTGTTTTTCATACTAATCTTACAGAAATGTCACTAAATGGTTTATTCAATCTTCTTTTTTTATGACCTGCGTTTTTCTTGTTTTTCTTTGCTGAACAATCTTTGTTAAATGATTATATGGTAAGGTATTTAAACATTGTCCGAAGTTTCTTGATTCTATCATATTGATAATGTGTCATTTAAAATATGATCTAGATTCTGTTGAACATAATGCATCATTGATGAAAAATCTAATCAACTCATCCGATGCAATCAAAGACACAAAGAAAGTATTTATTGTTTATTTTGAAAATATGATTTAATAATGAGACAATATATCAGATAAAACTTTTTTCATCGCTTTATCTTTTACATTGAGATAAACCGTTTATCACTATTAAGTATACAGTGACAACTGACTATCAATCGATTTATTCTTTATAAAGTATAGATTCCTACGATCAACATCTTTTCATTTATTACAAAGGTAATGGGAATATAAGATTCATTTTGTGAAGTATTTCCTTACGATTAGCTTTTTTTCTTCTCGTTTCATTTTTAATCGATTCGTCCACAACGACGTATAGGGCGCACGACGAGAGGCAAATATGGATAACTACAATCAGAAGCTATTTGAAAGTTTTCTTAAATTTCAAGAATCAGTGAAATTCTTTCCAATAACGAATACTAATTAAAATGGTCCATCATTTCAAGGACTCAATGCAACATCACTCGATTTATGTTCATTTGCTTTAACAACATTTACTCTTTCAATGTATCTATACCAGTCAATACATCTATGGATCTTATCAGGAGTATTACTCGGTTTTATAGTGGTGCAACTCAAATCTTGACTGGTTATCTCCAATTTTCATTCTACTAACAATCACTAAATTTCAAAGTCATCAAAATCTCCAACGAGCGTTTTGACCATTTAATATTCTTCCGACATCATTGGCCTAGGTGCTTTTTCAAATGGTCTCTTTTTGAAAAACCACATAAGAAAGGCAAGAAAATGAACAATCCTAAAGGAACAGTATAAACATTAATAATAAATATAAAATGACATAAAGATGAATAAAATTCTTCCAAATATTGATTCTAATTTGAACAGTATAATTTTTAAAAATAAATGTTTTGTTAGTAATGTAAGTTATGCAGGGATGGCCCGAGTCAACCAACAATGGGGGGGTGTCGCGAAATTTTTTGCAGTAAAAGGTGGAATTTTTTAATTTTGGGGGGGTGTAACATTATTTTTCATGACAAATGGAAGAAAATTTTTTGATTTTGCTGAGCAAAAAATAGAATTTTTCTAAGATTGGGGGGGTGTTCCACCCCCGACACCCCCCCGGTCGGGCCACCCCTGAAGTTATGATTAAACATAGGTCTCTGTTGATTGATATTTCTATTAAAAAGAAAATGAAATGAAATGAAATATAGTTTGTTTTTGTGTAAAAAATATCGACCATGTATTGAATATTCTATAGATAATAATGATAAGAAAAGAAACAATTTTTAAAGTTTTACTTTCCAATCGAGAAACAATGGTAACCATTTCTATTGATCATTTTTCATGTTTTCCATTAATTTAAGTGATAATAACAGTTAACAAGCGAAATATTCTTATCCGAAATAATCTAGACTAGGATATGTCATTCATTTCTATCTTATAGATTCTTATCAAACTTGTCTTTCATTCATGTTTTCTTTTTATTTAGCTTTTGCCAATAAGTTGCAAGTATCGCATCAGCATTGGGAAGAAAAAAAGAATAAAACCATTTAGCGTCTATCCTTTACATCAAAGTTTACATTGAATAGCATGGTCACTATCTATATTTAATCAATTTTCAATCGATGACTATCAAATGAAATTTAAAATATTAACTCAATATGACTATCTGTCAAATATGATATGATTTATTCTTGTTCTTGTTTGATAGAGATAGTATTTGACTCATTACACGAAATCGGTATTATCTTTAGTCAATAAAAATGATTTTTAGTTTGATTAATGAAGTATCATAGGAAGAAGACACATTCGAAATAACTAAAAGACACAAACTTATCATTTAGAATAGGTTCGAAAAGAATTACAAGAATATTGATATTAAATTACGAAAAAAAAAGCCAAATCCAGTTTGTTGTTCGATTTACATTTCTAAGAAACTAATTATCGTATTATCAAAGAAATCAATCGAATAAATTTTCTTGTCAATTGATCAAGATATATTTCGAAATCAATTGATTGTATCGTCAACAATGACATGTAGAAGAGCGATGATTTTCTTACATCATTCTTAATATTGAAAACAAATCGATTCAACATTAGTACATGAAAGGAGAGAGAGAAGTACATAGACATGGAGATATACTATACATCCTATATACCACAATTTGTTTCATTGATCAAAATATCATTTGTTATTTTCTACTCTCATTTTATATGAAATGATGTATCAATATAGGGATCTAGTCTCATCTATCATTACATACTGAGAATCATTTGTCATTGACTGATGATTAAATAAATGATATATGAAGATCAATAGATGAAAAAGAACGATCTATCTTTTCAAGTTATGTGCATTTTGCGTTTCAACATAACCTAAAATGAAATTGTCATCTGTTACTTTTCAATCTATATTTATAAAAATACTTAATCAAAAGGTATATCTTCATTAATTTGATATGATGTGATCTATACTTTCATAAAAACTATTCAATCAGTCAGAACATTTTAAAAAAAAGAGCATGATCGTAGTATTTGATGTTGAGAAGGATTTGTTTTCAATGGATGAAAATCGCTATTTCATCAGGAGAAACAAGCAAACACAACCTATGATATTTGTATAATATTGTTCGAAAAAGTATCCTTGGATTTCATACTAATCCATTTGATGGACATTATGCAATAACATGCTTCATATACTTCTACCTATGGATAATTCTACTGACTATAGAATTTCTATTATATCGTTTTCGATAAAGTTCATTATGTATGAATAAAAATCTGAACAGAATTTAATCTTTGCATATTATTGAGATAAAAGACAAGAGAAAAAGATTGATCAAAGATGCCGAGTATGTTTGTGAGTACGACTGGAAGGATGTGAGTCTGTCAAAATTTATGTGTTGATGGATGTTAATACGGTGTAACTAAAAAAAAAGACTATCGGCGAAAAGGTATACTCTCAGGAAAAAATGTTAATTATTCGAAAGAATAAAGGACTTCGAGCTATTGTCACCTATGGCAACAATTAAGATGGATTTTAATTATTTTCGATAATAAAATTTATTTCGAGCACAATCGAGTGGAAATGGGTGCGCCCTTGGTTCAACTTCTCGAGTTGGTCTATAGATCTATGTCTAGAGCTTGTTTTCAGCCTTACTCTTCTCTTTGTTTTAATTTCGAAGACTATTTTCTAATAAAGAGTCAATAAAGAACATTGTTTGCTTTTTTTAAATTAGTCCAAATATTAAAAATGAATGAAAACTATTTAATAAATTCGATGAAATGACCTTCAATTTCAGGTAACTTGTGTTTCTAAACTTGTTGATAAAAATTAATTTATGAAAAAAAAAAAACAAATTCTAGATGAATTATTTCAGAAATTGTTTTGTCGTATTGAATAATATATCATTGTTTTATATAAAAGGAATTTATAATTTGTGTTTATAATCGAAATACGATTCGTAGAAAAGAGACATATCTAAAGCAAATTTTTCTTTTTTCTGAAAAGTTCTAATTAAAATATGAATTCTTCTTGAAATATATTTTAAAATGAAAGGGAACAAAAATTTGAATTCTGACTTATCTTGTTTGAACTTCTATTTGAAAATTATAAATCAATATTTCAACTTGAAAATGATGTTTTTTTTTTCAAATCGTAAATCATTTTAAAAAATAATATTAAATTAATCTCATCGTTAAAATATCTTAAATTATCCTTTATGGAAAAAAATCGAGCAAACTAAACAACAATAATGGTTTTTTTTTGTTTTCTGTAAAATTTCTTTTGAAGAAAACCTTATTTAAGTATAATTTCATGTAGCTTGAAAAAAAAATTTGTCTTTCGAAAAGTTGTTTTTTCTTGATGTGATCAATGTATATCCATTATTGATGATATTCTTAATATGATCATAGCTAGTTAGCGTCATCTTTCATACGTGAAAAAAAAAATTCTTTTTTCTTAATTCAAGTTTAATATTTTCACATAGAAATTTAAATTGAGAATTTTAGAAGATATTTTGAAGAGAAGAGAATTCTGTAATAAGACAATGGCATGTTGCCATTTCTTTATCTTGTTCAGGAAAAAATAATTAGTTCAATTCAATATTGACAAATATTCAGATCAGTTGAAAATCCTTCTCTCTTTAATTATATAAATGGCTGCAAAACGAAAGCGTTCATCTTCAACTCGTACTTCTCAATCAAAAAAAACCTCAAATAAAAAATCTACTAAAAAAGTTAATATAAATGTATCATCTGATGATAAACCAACAACAAATTCAATCGATAGAAAAGATATAAAAAAACCTACTAGAAAAACAAAAGGAAGTGAACAAGTTAAATATAATCTTGGTCAACAAGTTCAATATGATCCTGTACATAAAGGTTCAACAAGACGTGCACAAGGAAAAGTTACAAAAGTATTAACAGGAGCAAAGGTAATAACCATCTATATTAAGATTTTAATTAAAAAAAGAGAAAAATAATATTATTTCTATTAAGAAATCAGATCCATCAACAAAAGAAGTTCGATATGTTATTGAAAATGATACTACAGGAAAAGAAACAAGTCAGTTAGATTTATTTCAAAATTCATTCTATTATTTTTTGTCGTTGTTTTTTTTGTAGTTTATGGTCAACATAGTGTTAAGAAAAAACTTAAAAATTAATCAATAAAATCCATAATGTTTATTTAATTATTATTTATTCAGACTTTTATGTTGTACATTTGTCTATTGATTTAACTTTATGAAAATAAACTTTAACTTTGTTTAGGAATCCATTATAATCATGAAAATAAATTTATTCATGCTACTTTTTATTCAAGAATATCATTGAATCGAACTTTTAATAGAATAAACATTTTAATCTCATAAAGATCAATTTATAGTGCAACCTACTGTTAAACCATGTTTTATATTTCATTTATTTTTTTCTCATTTTAATTTCTAAAGTTGACACAATTATAGGAAATAGTCTTTAGTTTTCAATAGATGATCTGGTTGCTGTTTTTATCACGATTTTTCTTCTCATTTTTTCTCAACATCAAATCTACAGTCCGTTCTCGATCAGTTGTTATGCGAGATTTTTTTACATTTTGTTTTATCTATAACTTTCTTATGGTAGGATAGTTTGAGATGAAACTTTCTTCATTTTATCCGTTAATTGTGATCAACCATTATTAGAAATGTTAGAGTCAAAAATGTTACCATTCATCAGAAAAAGAGGAAATTGTTTTAACGTCTCACAAGACATTATAACGTCAATACTACTTGTCAATTAAGGTCTAAATAAATATATATTATATATAATTAGTTTACTTCTTATATTAGATCCTATAAAAATTATTCTAAGCTAATTCTACATTGTGCATTATTAAAATCGTTTGATAGAGATTAGAGCTGATAAGAGACTAGTTGTTTCTATCATGACCTAATCTAGTTCAGAATGATTGTAGACCAAACCAAATCGATTGATGTTTCTCATTTTTCGAATACACTTAGTTCATTTTCTTGAAGATAGGATAATAACAAATTCTTCCACTAAACAGTAAATAAAAACAAAAAGACAACAGTCATAAATATGTTTCGCATAATCGAATAAATCTAATCATCATGCCAAAAACAATATATGATCAGACATACAACGAAGAGATGAAGGAAAATGCATACAACATAACAAATGTAAGGAATAAGTGATAGTTATACTACCAAACAAGGGCACTTACATTTGAAAATCATTTTTCGCACAAGCACGAATACAAAATCTACAATTTAATTATTTTGAATCTTAATAAGTTCTTATTGTCAGTCAATGTGAGTCCAACAACACTAAATTGATGTTTCAACATCTCTTTATGAAATCGAATGAATTTGTCAAAGTAGTCGAGAATCATAAGACAATCGATCAGTATTTTATTTCCAAACCTCAAGATCCAGAGTAACAACATTAACCTCGTTTGAGAGGCACCTCTTAGAGAGCAGGTCAAACCGGCAGCTCTTCTAAAGATGGCATCATATTATCAATACATTGAATAAAACACTATTTGATTCATATAGTTTAGACTTACCGAACTTTGAGTCTCAAGTATTTTTTTTTTCGAAATATATTCAGAAAAGTCGTATTCACGTATTTTCATAGCCCTTAGGGAATTCTCATATATTTCAATAATACCAATAGTAGTACTCTAGAAATTTTATTCTTTTTCTTATGTCATATAGTTGAGTAAAACCCATTAGTTATCATCTTTGAAATCGAAATTTTATTTTTGCTCATTTCTTTTCTCTCAAAATGGTACTATCATATTGTAACTCATTCTTGTCTTCTATGAATCTTTTTTTTTGTTGTATATATATTTAAAAAGTATTATATTGAAAATATATCATTCCATATGACAATATTTCACTTTTTATTCTTTCATTTGGCTATATTAGTTGATTTAGCTTTAAAGAAATCTTAAACTATTCTTTTATTTTAACTAAGACTATTAGAAATAGATTAGTAAAAGAACAAAAAAAAAGCAAGCGTTAAAATTTGAAATGAAATTGTTTGACGATAAATGATTAAACTTTTAAAATTAATCTAATGTCATTATTTCTTCCAATGAATGTCAGAGTAGATAATAGTTAATCTCACTAGTATTTTACTTCATTGCAAAAGTGCATTGTCCGCCGATAACCGTTGCAAATTTTTCAAGCATGCAGATCCAACAAGTAGAGTCGGAAATGACCGATCCATAAAATATACGGTGTGTTACATAGGTCAGCATTACCATTGTATATTTCTGTGTTGTATGCCAACAAATGTGATGATTCACGGAGATGGAAACGTTCGTTTACTACCTTCGTATACGTAGATCGTATACTCAGGTCAATGATTCCGGTCTCCGGAACCTTCAGGAACCGACCGGAAACGGTGTATTTTCTGGCCTCTTCCCGCCGTTTCCGGTGTCTTTCCCGTCGGAAACGACCGGAAAAATACCCGAAACATGGAAGGAGTATTCCGGCCGAAACTTTCTCGTACTCGGAAACGCAGCGTTCCGTGAATTTCCCGCTGACGGAAACCTACGGGAAAAAAGTAATAACCCGCAGGAAGCCACCGAAAACCGTCAAGGAGCGAACCGTTCCCCACCGGAAAACTCTGAGGATCCGCTCCTCACATCTTTGAAAGACCTTTGAAAGATCTTTCAAAGATGTGTGGACCAGATCCTCAGAGTGTTCCGGTGAGAAACGGTTCGTTCCTTGCCAGTTTCCGGTGAGTTACTCCGAGTTCTTACTTTTTTCACGTAGGTTTCCATGGGCGGAAAATTCACGGGACGCTGCGTTTCGGGGTACGAGAAATTTTCGGTCGGAATACTGCTTCTATGATTCGGGTATATTTTCGGCTGGGAGTGACATCGAAAAAGGCCAGAAATCAGACAGTTTCCGGCTGATTTCTGAAGGATCCGCGGCCCGAATTATCGATCTAGGAAAGGATCTTTCAACATCTTTTTCCATCCGAACAGCAGTTAAAGTCTTAAAAATACCTTGAAAGTAAGGTACCTTGCAAAAAAGATCCTCCAAGCACATCGTCTACCAAAACAGCCATCGGTGTGTCAAAAATACCTTAAAAAAGGTACATTCCATAAAAGATCTCCCAAGATCTTTTTCCAACTGAAATAGCTATTACAGCCTCAGAAATAATGTACAAACAATGTACCGTCCAAGAAAGGCTTCCGAACGATATTTTTTTTGCTCCCTCATGATTACAATGAATAGCGTAGGTTCTCTCACACGGTCGGAAGCAAAATCAATCAGAATTGCTGTAACTTCTGCTGCCGAATAGGAAATAACACAATCAAACAGTACATAACTGGCGAACGTTATATTTTGTTATGAGTTTTGATTTCTTTGCGGTCTCCTCCTATTTCAAGTCAGGCTCCCTGAAGGCTGTCACTAATAAGGGTCTCGGCTTTCCCTTTTCGTGGAACAAAGTGCTATTCCTAACTATTTGCTACTAATCGGTTTCGTTAAAAGATTGAGTCTCTAAACTCTATGTTTCTATGAGACGTTCTGCCATATTTCTTTGTTTTCAAATACATCAACGTATCTCTCACGGCTAATTTAGATATCGAAATCTAAAGAAGATATCACTTTTTTGTTCTTCTGCATCTCTAGCGGTCTCACAGCCTATTGCTATCTACCGTGATACTCGCAAATCATCTGAAACATGTGGCGCACTACTACATCCATCGTGGACAAAAACATCACGAAGATGAAAAAATCCGATTTTAGTCTGATTGTTAATACGCAAAAGTTCATTTTTCAGTCATCCACTTCTGCTACTAGTCTTCTCAATCGAATAAACTCTTGCACATGGTGCACTCATATATATATGGTCGGCTCAGGTCTGAAAATGGGTTGAAAAAATTCGATTTGATTCTGATGAGTAGTACTCGACACCCATGTTTCCGGCTGAAAAATAGAGCTGATTAACTTAAGTTATTGAAACAATTAGATTGAAACACTGCAGATGTGCGCGATTTTTTTCTGATCGCTTTTCGAGTCAATGCTTACCGGAATTTTAGTTGCTGTTTTGACATATGCACTTGCGAGAGGTGGCGTTGGCTAATTAGTTAGAGGTTATTGGTTTCATGCAACTGGAACGAGTAGGTTTGGAGTGATATGTTGTCGTATGCAGAGGGTTTTGAAGTGGCCACAGCTGTAGATGACGAAGAGATTTTCACCTGTCACGCACACGCCAAACGATCCACACCCATACCCACAGCCTATATCCACATCTACATCTACCCACACGTCACACTATCCACACCGCTCGCACTCTGCTGTCATTAGTTGAAGCAGAACTATTACCACTCGGGGATATGTATAACTGGTGACAAGAACATGTAGTTTATATTTGATAGCAGCAGTTCGTCAGCATTAACGACTGTTTAGGATGAAGTGTGATAGAAGACGACGATGCTTTCTTAACCGATTTGTGGTTTAGGCATACAATGCCGCACTGTGTTATCCTATGAGTGCATATAGTCACCGTATTGTTACACTTGTCGTTTACGGCTACTTTTTACAGTCGTTGCTTTTGATGGTCGTAATACGCCTGCGAGCATTGTTTACGATTGCTGTATATGGCTGACGCAAACAGCTGCCGTTATCCATCGTAGCTGGTTGCTATACGGTCATATATGACCCAGCATGATTGACTTTGGAATGCGAAAGTGAGTTACTTTGTGCTTTCTGAAGAGGTACTTGCTGTAGAGCACGACATCTTCTCTGTCCTCACACATTGCGTGCAGGGATTATGAAGTATAAGAAATCTGACATACATTCTCATGAGGAATTCAATTGAAATATCTCGCTTAACTACTTGCTACTTTTGAAAGGGGTAGTCGCTGCGGAGCACGATGTCTCCTCCTTCCTTACACATTACGTATATGGATTATGAAGTCTGAAATCGGATGTACATCCTCATGAAGAACGAAATCGAAATACGTCATTTAGGTATTTTGTGCATTCCAAAATGGTAATCGCTGCGAAGTACGACATCTCTGTTCTCATACATTACGCATTGGAATTATGAAGTATTTCAAATCAAATGTATATCCTCATGAGAAATCAAATTGAAATGCCTCACTTGGGTACTTTGTGCTTTCTGAAGAGGGTAAGGTGCGTGTGGACGTGGGTGGGGTACATATGGGTGTGGATGGGTTTGGGTGTAGCTGTGAGTATGGTTGCCAGTGAAGACTATATCAACGACCACAGACCCATCGACAACCATACTCATATCTAAACCCACACCCACACCCCGTCTTAGTATATGTTTCAAAATATTTAGTTCCTATGGATTTTTCACGTGTCATTGATTATTTTGTTTTCAAAAATCTCGTGTACAACCAAATCATAAGATGAACTTCTTTAATAGCTTTACATACTAACGATAGTACTAGTTACTACCCTGACCACTGAGAAAATATTCTATTCACATCCTATTTTTCACTTCTCAAAACGAACACTGTGCAATAAGATCCAAGTTAAGAAACTTACCGGTTTGCCGAAGATAATAGGAGTATCAAATAGTGGATAAATTGGGTGACGAGAAAATTTAGAACAGCTAGAATTTGATTTTGGAGACTATACAGTTTTTCGAAATCTACTCATGGGCGAGAAACCTATAAATAAAATGCGTGTGTAGAACAACTAATTTCAATTAATCGTTGATTTCATATCCATCTGCAGGCTTCTATCTGTTGCTTTCCATACTTTTAGAAACTTACTCATGATATAATGGAACTGTCGACAAGAACATTTATAAGATGTCTCATTGACAAAGGATTTCATGTTTTTATCAACTTGTCTATAATACGTTTAGGTTATAATGATAGGTTTCACTAGGAGAATAACATGAATTTTATTAGAGATTGGCGATACTACATGAAATCGATAAACGATAATGTCATCTCAGTTGCTTACTCAACAGCATCTGATCAAAATTTGATACTTGGGTAAGAAGAAAAGATGAAAATTCAAGAGAAAACATTCAAGAAACAGAAGAAATTGAGAGTATTCTATCAAAACAGGGAAATATTAGTGCAACAAGATCAATAGTCATTTTAATTACTGTTGCACTTGTTATATTTCTGATAGTAGTCATATTTATTGGTCTTTGTCTGATATACTGATATCACCAAGAATGACAGTCTATTCAATTCCCAATGGCAAATATTAGCACAATTATGAGTCAGTCAGCTACATCGATTCTGCGGCCATCCCAAAACAATTCAGGATGTCTACTAGATTTTCTACGATCATTTGTACTAAATGAAGCAGATAAAAAATAAAACAAATCTCCTCGTTTCTCAACTAGTTATCTTCATACTTTACACCAACAATTTCATTTATTACTGATTTAAAACATTGTGTACTTCTTTATTGTTAATAAATTTATGTACTTGAGATATTTTAAGAGACGACTATTACACATAGTATTGGCATTTGTTTCTCACCAAGTTAACAAAAGTGCTTTGACACACAAAAATCACATAAAATATGAACAGGATAAGTATGAATATATGAGTACAATCACTTCAGAAGTGATATTTGCGGTTTTCTTCACTATGTAAAGTGGAAAATACAATCATAATCCAAATTATTGAGTCAACAACCAATAACAAACAACAAGAAAAATATCGACTCGATGATTTTTATGAAACAGCAAAGATTGTGCGTATTAAAAAATTCTATCACAATAACCCTTTCAACTATTATCTACGGCATGTAGAATCATTATGAAAAAAAGGTAAATAGTTTCCGAATGATACTCTTACACAGATATACATGAAAAGCCAAAGGAAAATATCAGTATTTTAGAATTTTTCGGTGTGGAGACAGGTATAGTCTTAGTCATAGAAAAGCTCGTTGGGTCCATACTTGAAAACGGTGGTTTTTTTTCCGACTGGACCGAAGCAGTCGGTTGAGACTTTTGACTTAACCAGCAAAAAACCCGTCCATTTAATATATCAATTAATGAATTATTGCTTTCGAGAAATGGTCATTGAATATTGAATATTTTGTCTTTCTTAGTCATGAAAAGTTACATTCAAGACAATACACCAACCAACTTAAAGTCTCCTTAAAACACTTGTTGCAAAAGCATCTGAACCTGAGTTTTTGAATCTTTCAATTGATGAAACGAATTCATCTATTGATCATCTTCAACTTATACTGAATAGGATCAACCATGATAAACAAATTAGTCTATTGACGGTTGCTCCTTCAACATGAAGTTTTTAAAAAATTGAAACATCCTTTTCGTTGAATAGACATTTAGTTGACAAATTGATTGAATTTCAAAATTCAGGTAGACATCCTGGTAACAACAAATAATTCGCAAAAAAACTTGCAAATGAATTCATATCTTCTATGAAAGATAATTGATTTTTACTTAGACTATATCAATGAGTGACCAATATGTATTTGACACACGTCAATAGTTGTTGACCAAGCATATAGACTGTTCTTAAAAAATTCAATGAAAAACTATTGTTTTCAGGTAGCTAATGCATCAACTTTCTGCTGATTAAGAGTAACATAGATGAAAATTAGAAAAAGCATACAATTTTTGTACGTATATTTACGATGAAATATTGAATCTTTTAATCAAAGTTATTCTCTGAAAGATTTTTCTTTGAAATCCATTTTTCATAGTCTTAACTAGAGTTAAGATAGTTGAATTCTGAATGACGCACATCATTCAAGGGATTCTATTTTCAGATCAATCGATTGTGAAATATTGTATTTCTTTTTTCTTATGCGCATCAAATATTTTATAGAAGAAAAAAACAGAAAACAACAATATCGATTGAATGATCACGTTGTTGTTGCCTAGGAGTGGAACAAGTAAACAAATGCGTAGTATGTTACTTGTAGAAAAAAAGATGCTGTTCTGTAGAATGGCAAGAAAAAAAAAAGAGTAATTCGTACTGTAAATAATTCTATACATGTTTATTTTTATTTCTCCCTTCTCGTTTACATTATGAAGCATAAAGACGACTATACCTATGAATTAATTGACAATGAAACTGATGCTCTCATCTGTGCTCGTTTGATATCTGAAGAATTTATTCAACATAATCCAATAGCAGTTTTCGATAAAATTTCAGCTGACGATTTTTTCCATGAACGTTCATGGCCAATGATGATGGATGTTTTCGATGAAAGATTATCATTTCTAGCTCGTCATCGTCATTCAAATGAAATTGTTGGTGCTATAATAGCTGGTGATCTATTTGTACATAATCAGAATCATCCATATGATGAATTTGGAATACCATCAACAATACCTCATCATGATTTACTCCAAGATATGGCCAATCAATTTATTAATTATGATTTTAATCAACAATTAGAACCTTATTTTATTTTACATATTGGTTTAGGTGCTACACGTGCTCAACATTCACTAAAAGGTGTTGCTTGTCAATTACGTCAACTTCTCTGTAATTATGCACGTGATATTAAACGATTTCAATATGCATTTGTTCAAGTGACAAATCCAATTACGAAACATATATATACAGATAAAATGGGCGCACAAGTCGTGCGGATAATCGATCCGACTAGATGGGCATGGAGAAAGAAGAATTATCAATTATATCCATATAAAGATTATAAGAATGGATCTATTTACAATGTTCTTCTAGAATTGACAAAAATCGACAAATTATAATTGCAATATATACTTTATAATCATATATTCACGCTTTTCAAATCGGAACTGTCACTACACAAGTAAAAAACACTGAACGAGAACCAGAGGCGATGCAACTGAAAGCGCTATTGCTTTTACTTCCGTTGCACTTGGAGTCGATTGGTCACGATTAACCCTTTGGTTGTAGGGGTTTAAAAAAAAAATTAAAATTTCTTTTTTTCTATATTTTTGATCGTAAATTAATATATAGTTTGAGTATATTTTTAAAATTTCATGAATAGAGATGTTTAAAAGTTTTTTAAAGTGTTGTAGCACAGTTCAAAACAAGCTACCACACATAAATCAATATTACATTGAGTACATTCATTTATTGTATCAATTGTTTTTTTTTTCGATCTGGTCTTGATTACTGTAGACATGGCACCTTCACCTCTTCGTTTCTGCAAATGTATCTTCACTTGAACAGCCTTGAATAAGTCAAGAGACATGTCGAGCAGTCAACCTCAAGGGATTTTCTAGAGATAATCTTCTTTTGTTTTTCATTCTTTTCACTTCCAATAGATTCGACGATGAATCATATCATTTTCAGTCAAAAACTCTGATAGATACATTGTTTCCTCCGGTCTGGAACTTGTATTAAATGAAGCCATTAAGTAAAATAATTTCAAAACAATTTATAAATCAAATTATACAAAAAAAATGGCTAAGAATTTCTTTCATGAAAATTGATATCAATTACCATTTTATAAGTATCAATATATCATTAAGTTACTGTAACGCATATGTCCGTCACCCACAATTAAACCATCAAATGACTTTCATCTCTATTTTTCGACATGGAACTGTTATTACTCTTGTTTTCATTTTCATTTGTATGCATTATTTTATTATCGTAAATCATAAATAAGTGTCTTTTATGTAGATATAGTTAATAAAACTTCATAATTTAATCTATTGGTAGATGTTCATACAACGAGAAAATGAATTGTTTCACTAATTTCTTAAGTCATGTGGTAATCATCCCATATTGCAGGTGAAATCAAAGAGAAGATTCTGACGACGAGGATCCTGCATCACTCGTGGTTATTATCGTCACGATCATGATCATGATTGTGATTGTGATTGTGACTGGACTTGGCTCATGGAGAGTCACTCTCGTTAAAATAGTGACACATTCTGTATTTATGTTAACTGGTTAGATGTTGCACAACACAAATGATCTTATCTTTTTTGCACAAAGTCAAAATCTGAAATAAGTTTAATATAGAATAAGTGAAGTACATAAATCAGGTATAACATTGTCGAAATTTCTATATTGATCAATAACAAAACTAAAATAAAGTCAAATATTAGACGTATTATCCTTCTGATATAACTTGGTGACATTAACAAAAATATCCTTGTTAAAAATAATTATATTAAATTTCTCTTTATCAACATCTTTAGAGTTACAGGTGAATTGTTCATTATTTACTTGATTAGATAAATTTTGTTATTTAATATAAAATTGATTTTGTTTTCTATCTTTTCGCTTCAACATATTCTCGTCAATATTACTGATAGAATCAATATCGTACCATCGTCAATAATACATATAGTGTACGTAAAAAGGTTCTCAAAAGAATTTTAAAAAAAAGGAAACTTTAATAAGAAAAATATTTTTACATTCGTACATTATATTTCATGAAAACAACTTTGTTTGTCAAAACTTGACGATACAATTTAAAGTTATATTATTCAGTATTTTATTATAATTGTTTTATTCTTAGTAAATTAAAGTATTTATGAATATTCTATTTAATTGCTGATTTTTATAAAAAAATTTTAAATTTTACATTTATTTTTAAATAATATATATAAATCAATAAAGAGGAACAAAAAGTTTACTAATTATTAACTAAAATGACATATACATATGTTGCAGTGAAAGTATGAGAAAAGTTGAATAATTATAGTGTATTCTTATAATTTTGTCCTGGACTGTAGAACGAACACATGATAAGATAAAGTAAGATAAGACATATGACTGCGTGTATTTTAATAAAAGAGATCTCACACGTTAGAAGCAGTTAAAATTCCATAGTAGACGACAATGTTGAGACCCATTAGTTGATTATTGATATAAATTGTGTTATTCTAGAAAGACTTTTTTGTATAACGAAACGTTCTATTCATTATTTGAGATAAATGTCCTCCTCTCTTATTGTCCCATCGTTCGATGATATTCGTGAAGCTCAATCTCGTCTGCGTGATATAGTTATTTGTAGTCCACTTCTTAAACTTAACTATGAAATTCCTGGAATGGAAATTTATTTGAAATGTGAACAATTTCAAGTGACATCATCATTTAAAATCCGTGGTGCTGCCAATATCGTAAAGATTCTATCAATAAAAGAGAAAGAAAATGGAATTGTTACAGCTTCATCTGGTAATATGGCACAAGGTCTAGCTTGGATAGCCAAAGAGGAAAATGTTAAATGTCGAATATTGGTACCTGACAGAACAAATCAAGTCAAACTAAAGGCAATTGAACGACTCGGTGGCGAGATTACTAAGTGTACTTTCGATGAATGGTTTCAAGTAATTGTAACTGGTCAATGTCCAATGTTAGATGGATATTTCATTCATCCGGTACGCAATCAATATGTAATGGCTGGACATGGGACCATTGCTTTAGAAATATTAGATCAATTACCTGACTGTGATGCTATACTTGGTAAAATAATAGACTGAATAGATGAATTTTAACAATTCTCACTTCTTCTAAGCCAATTACTACTGTCATCAAAGATAGTCGAGATTTGATTGCATTATTCAATAGATAGAAAATATGCCTTTTTCAAGAGTCGAATTTCAGTCACTTTAATAAACTCCACTTTTCTCTATAACAAAATCATTATATCGAAGTATTTAATAATAGCAAGTTAACTCGAAAACAAGTTATAAAGTGTGTTATATTGAATTTTCTCGAAAAGGATAGTTGTAGTTCTCTTTAAAAAGATGAACTTAATCGATTCTAGTCAGAATCACTGATGTCGTTTCATCTGTTTATGTGCTTCGAAAGGAATCCATAGCTCTTATGCTTGATTTTATTCTTATCGATAGTAATTGGGAAGAACAGAAAGTTTAATGAGATCCCATAGTGAGTTTTTCAAGTTTGGGTTTAAATATTTTTGTTTCACTATAAAGTCTCAGATCGATTCTATCTGTCGAGGATATTCTAGTTTAGTCGACTTTTTTTACGCAAAAAAACACAATATTCTGACAAATTTTTGTTGATGTTCAAAAATTTGCAGCAGTAGGAAAATGCAGAAAAAAAGCGAGTATTGTAACAATGTTCTCAAAATTCTGATTTCGATTTTCGAAGAAGAAAATGAAAAAATACCATTTCGCCTTAATTATCAAAGAAAAAGTTTCAATCTAATCGATGACTTGTCGAAGAACGATTTTGAAAATACTCAAGATGATTTTTTAAGATCTACAATCGAATTATTTTCGGTAACGACACATGATGAAATGATCTATCATTGGCAATTTTGTTTTTCTCTATGATCCAAGTTATATCTATTTTTAAAAGTTCACACTTTTTCATTGGACTTATTCTATGAAAAATTCTAAAAGCCGAATTCTTTCATTCTAATGATATTTTAACTATTTTTCAATGCTTTATAGTTCCATATGGTGGCGGTGGTTTGATAACTGGCATTGTATCTGCAGTTAAACATTTAAAACAATCTATTGATATTTTTGCTTCTGAAATCGAGACTGCAGCACCTCTCTCTGCTGCTTTAAATGCCGGGGAAATCGTCAAAATTCCGGTAAAACATTCCTGGATTGATGCTATTGGTCATTCAAATATCATGAAAGAAATGTGGCCATTAGTCAAAGATTCTATTGATGGTTCAATTGTTGTTACATTAAAAGAAACATCCGATGCATTGAAATTATTAATAGAACGAAATCATATGATATGTGAAGGAGCAAGTGCAACTGCACTCGCCGGTGCATTATGGCATTATCCTAATTTATTAGAATCTGGTAAAGCTGGACTAAGAAGAAAATCAGGAAGCGAACCTATTAAAGTGGTTGTCATACTATCTGGTGCAGGAATCGAAAATGAAACAATTATCAACTGTTTAAGCGATACTTTGTAAAACCTATGTCCTTTACAAATTTTATTTGATTAATTACCTTACTATGTAATAAAAAATAAAAAGCTGAACTTTCTTCTCATTTTTATTCTGATAGTACCAATCTCTATGTCGAATACTGTTCTTATTGACGTCCAAGTCGTCATTGATCAATACACAATTATCTTTCGAATTATTAAGTTTTTTGCAAATCACCAGGTTCAAAATCTGTCATTATCTAAGCAAAATACCGTTATCGATGCAGATTGTGACACTGATTTTTCAGCATTTTATTGATCGTATATAATGGTAAATTCAGTTATAATAATATTGATCGTGCCATTGAATGTTATTTCAACAAGAGTACAACATTCTCTCTGTGTAAATCAGTTGAAAAAAATCGAGTTTGAAAGAAATAATCAGTTGTTACATCTATTCATTGTTTATCAAAGAAGAAAGAACATGAAGATTTCATAATTTGCATGACAACAACAGTTATCAGTTTTGTTAAGAGATTTTTTTCCTTTCTCTTTAAACACAATTATCTGAATACAAGACTCGACCTTTCAACATTTAAAATATCATTTTCAAGATAAACAATAAAAATAAATATAGTTTTTATTTCTACTTTAACAACTGATCACTCATA